TTAATTCAAATGAAATTGTTGCTGTGTCAAGTTTGCAAGAACATTCTTCAAATGAGGTAGTATATTCCATTTCTCTTTCAATTACTAAAAGAAATCATTATTGTTATATTAGATACTTTGTATATGAGATACTTTGAGAAATCTGTAACTCAGTCGAGGCTAACATCATCTTTGTGTGTGAAGCAAAATCCCTTATCAGATGTATGATTTGCAAATATTTTCTGCCATTCTGTGTGTTGCCTATTTATAGGATCTTTCGATGCACAAAGTTTTAAAATTTTCGTGAAGTCCAACTTTTCTTTTTTTTGCCTTTTCCTTTGGTGTCATGTGCACGAAATCATTGCCAAAGTTCTCATGAATCTTTTGCCCTAAGTTTTCTTCAAAGATTTTGGTTTTTTAGGTCTTATGTTCAGGCTATTGTTGCATTTTGAGTTAATTTTTGTGTATGGTGTTAGGTGATGGTCCACCTTTATTCTTTTGCGTGTGGATATCCAGTTTTCCCAACACTATTTGTTGAAGAGACCGTCTTTTCCCCATTGAGTGGTCTTGGCACCCTAGTAAAAAATCATTCAACCACATATGTGAGGGCTTATTTCTGGGCTCTCTAGTCCATTGGTCTGTGTGTCTTTATGGCAGGACCACACTGTTTTGATACTGGAGCTTTGTTGTACATTGTGAAATCAGGAAGAGTGGGTCCTCCAGCTTTGTTCTTCTTTTTCATCATTGTTTTGGCCATTTGGGGTCCCTTAAGAGTCCGTATAAATTTTAAGGTGGGTTTTTCTATTTCTGAAAAAAACATCACGGAGGTTTTGATAGGGATTGTATTGAATCGGTAGATCACTTGGAGTAGTAGTTATATTTTTAACAGTATTAAGTCTTCCAATCCATGAACACGATATGTGTTTCCATTTATTTATGTCTTCTTTAATTTCTTTTTTTTAAATTTTATTTCAGGATATTATGGGGATACAAACATTTTGGTTACAAGTAATGACTTTGTCTCATCCAAGCCAGGGCTAGAGGTATGCCCTTCCCCCATACAGTGTGCACC